CCCCCCTTTCTCTTTCTCTGTCTCTTTCTCTCGCTCAATTTTTTGTCATTGCCCATCTCAATTGCTCTTGAAAAACCACCACTGCTTGTTTATGATGATAAATAAAAAAAGAAAATGTCAGATTGCCGTTTTTCTGTTTGCCTTTTCGTCCAAATCCTCTCTTTATATTATATTAGAAAATGTAATTGAAAAGCTTTAGTGCTGGGTTACTTTGAAAGTGTTGTGTCATATCCGTAGGCTATGGTATGTGGTATAGCTTTAACGCTTCGAACAAAGCTGAGGATTTTCAATTCAAATGTGAAGTCAGTCCTGTTGTATGGATGTGAGACATGGAACGCATCTCAGATTTGCGTTAAGAAGATCCGTGTTTTGTTGAATAAGTGTCTAAGAAAGTTACTGAGGATCAGATGGACAGACAAGGCCGCCAACGAGGAAGTATTGAAAACAAGACAGATACCAGTCTGAGATGAGGTAGGAAGAAGGCGGTGGCATTTGATTGGAAATGCTCTCAGGAGGAAGCCAGGCAGCTGCATAACAAAGAAAGTGTGGGATTGGAATCCACAGGGTAAAATAACAATTTAAGGGGGAAGACTGCATGGAAACTGGGGAAGAATCACAGAAATTAATGTGCAGAAAAGTGGGAAAACATGAAATAACATCAAGAGGCTAGCCCAGGATAGGGAAAGGTTGAAAGTGTTTGTTCGTGGCCTATACCCTGAAGTAGATACGTGAGAGAGTCAATGATGACGATGGCTTAAACGTATCTTTCTCCGTACGTCGTTGTTTTACTATCATATCCATGCGTCATGGGGAAGTCTGTGTCTCCACTTTCCTAAGAGGAAATTTACTCGTTAATCCAATCCGTACGCTTTGCATAGCAGTCTATCAAAATCATTTTTTTGAGGAATACTGAAAGTTTAAAAGAGATCTTCGCTCTAGAAGTATTCTAAAATGTCAAGAATACAACACCTGGGGTACAAAATGGCCCCAGGCGTAGGATAGGGTTAAGAGCCAGGCCCTACGAATTTAACATAGAAGTACGTTTCCTACTGGACTGGAGATGAGTTTTGTTAACTGCCAAAAAAAAAAACCAACAACCAAATTCAAGAACATTCTAATAATACACTCCTGTCGATAAATAACAGCCTGTGTTATTACAGGAACTTGGACAGTGATAAATCAAATCCCTGATTTTTCTCTATATAAGTATAAGTAATATATACCTGGCTATAACAGGGTTCAATTTGCGCAGACTCGGAAATAACAGTGATCTTGCAGCGCATGAACTTGATTTCGATCTGTCAAATTCTTAAAATTTGTCACAACCAAGGCATTTTGTATGATTGCTTGCCTAAACACAACCTTTCAAGCGCATACCCCCACCCCCCTTTTGTGTTGGGGTCACTGACCGATTGGGTCTCTGTGTCAACAAAACAGTCCACTGGAAAAGGATCTGCGATAATCGAATATATATTATAGTAAGCTGAAGGTGCTATGGTACTGGTAGTTTCCCTTGTTAACGGTTATAATATGACTCGCTCATAACGGGGGAAAATGGCCGGATCCGTCTGGCCTTATATATCCGAGTTTGACTGTATTGTATATTCAAATAGGGTTATCTGAATTATAGCCCAGCATGATGTTTACTGTGCCAACCGTGTGAAGACAGGGGCAGACTTAGAATAAACAGAGAGACAGACTAGCAAACCGATATATACGACTAGGCATATATACATGTGTGTGTGTGTGTATATATATATATATATATATATATATATATATATATATATATATATATATATATATATAAACAAAAACAAATCACACAAAAATCAATAAACCTAACTGCAAGCCCTTGTCTGTGGTTTATACAGGACATTTTATTTGATGAAGTATCTATTTTAAAATGAATTAAGAAACGATTTTTAAAATGCAACTAACGTTGTCCTGTTTTCTTAGGTAAACGCAATCTCAATGCGAGAAAATAACAATCGGAAAATAATAATGTTCTGTTCCGAATAGAAGCAAGCAGGAACAAAGCGTAACGTTGGGTTTTATTCAAAATAGCCTACTAAACAAATCATTGCAAAAAGTCACAAATTCGAACGGAGAAGAAAACATTATGTAGCCTATTGGCCTAATAAAACTAATAAAACCAAACAAACCAAATTTTAATGTGCCCGGCGAAGACCTGAAACAGTACCAGTAGTAAGCTGTGGACTGGCAGAATTTTTTCCACCCGGAGCAGATTCTTTGTGTTTTCTGGTTTGACGCTGACTGCTGTAATACTGTGACGATCTCCGGGCACATCAAGAATCTGTTTTTGTTTTTTTGGGTTTTTTTGTTTTGTTTAGAGTTTTACGAAACTTGCAAAACAATAAGGTCATATTACAAGTGCCGAAGATTAGAGGTGTTACAAGAGAGTAACAATCACAGAAAAGAAGTAGGAGAAATCAGGACGATAGATCTTTGATAGGAAAGAAGAAGCAAACCACACCAGAGCACCCGCCAACCGCCCGCATATTATGAATCTAGACACGACCCGCCAAAGCGGTTTTGTTTGTTTGTTTGTTTGTACGTTCTTTTAAGTAAAGAGAAGCACATCGACTCGTTGAATGTTATTTGGTACCAAAAAAAAAGTAGTAAGACAGACGGATAGACATAAACAACAGAAGGAAGGGAACACAGAAAAGCGACAGAGGGATGAACCCCCCTCCAATACGTCACAAAATAGCAAACGGAACGCATTTCTTCCACCACCACCCCCGCCCTCCCCCCTATAATAATAATATTCAAGAGTACAATCATGTAATGCATGCTTTATTATTAATTTAATGAATGAAATTATGTACTTTAGTTTAAATGTTTTAAGGCTGCGCCCCCATCGACACAATTTACTCATTTTAGGAGGTGGGCTGCTTCGATCCTGTCTGTCAGGGCTAACCGTACCTGAAAGGGATACTGCATTCGAGTTCCAGCATACAGATGGAAATTCTCGATTTAAAAAAAAGCTTTCCTCTTGCGGGAATCGAACGCACGTCTTCTGCGTGCGACAGATTATAACAATTTTTTTACGCATCTATTATCCCTCATCATATCATTTAAAACCTCTTCCACACTCTGCCCCTTTGTAGAATTGGAGCATAAGGAAACAACGCTATTAAAGAAATAGACATTTATGATAATAAGACAGTCAAACCTGTGGAAATAAAATCATATTTTAGACGTAGGTGTTTTTTACACCCCTGTCGGCACACAAATTTAGATCTTCAAAATTTAGCTAGAACCAACTCCAACCCGGGCTCATACGGATACAACATTCTAGATACTAGGCCCAGATAGAAATTCTTCCCACTCCGGAATCGAATTCGGGTCTCCTGCGTGAGACAGCGAAGCGCCTAATCGCCTCTCCTCAGATTCCGGTCCCCATGACTGAAACCACAAAACATAATTTTCTCAAGAGGCCGATCACCATCATCTTATTGACACCGACACGGTCAATGCCAACCTGTACGGTATCGCCCGCTTGAGAGCAATCATCTTCATCATTGCCTTTCTCACCTTGGATCAGGATATAGGCCACGAACAAACATTTTTCACCTTTCTCTATCCTGGGCTAGACTAGTGAGCGATAGTTTGGTTCTAATAATTTTGATGGACGGCGGAGATCACCCGGGTAGTGATAGACTGTATCTAATACGGCGTACCCATTGGTGGGATCGGTTCTCTAATAGAAACCGATCGCCCGACTTGTCGTCTGAAAACAAATGAAGAGCACAGGGGAAAACAACGGTAGTCACAAACTGGAAATGGAAATTGTAAGGGTGCCAATTTTAAAAGCTTGTGGACTTATAACTTCATATTTGTTTTGACTCGTGGTTTATTGTTATGTGTTGTTGAATGGGAAATCAAACAACAATAATCAACTAACCAACAGTTGAACAGAAATACAGTTATGATAAGTCAACAAGCGTTCAAAATTTGTACCCTCATGATTTTCAGTTTGTGACTATTGTCGTTCTTCCCGTGTAGTCTTCAAATGCTTTTGTTTTTGAGGCAACGAGTCGGGCGATCGGTTTGTGCCACAATAGCCGCTTTGCGCCCTCAATCGGGCTACCAAATCGAACCGAACCGAACCGATCATGCCAATGTCCCGATGGGAATTGAATATATACGTCATGTATGTGAGCGGTACAAAAATGTTAATCTCTCAATTATTATGGCGAAAATGGACGTCGGCTGTAAAAAGGTTCGCAAACGATGCCCCAACACATGCAGCCGCCTGTTAGTGGACTGTAACACTGAACTTGCAATTCGTTGAGACGTAATTTAGTTAATAGAATTTGAAAAGAAAAAACAACAGCAACAAAGCAAAGGAAAAAATAACAAAAACAAAAAACAAAAAACTACCCCCCCCCCCCCCCGACCCCGAACGAGCAAAATTCACAGCCAAAGCAGACTGACTCTTTTTTCATGAATGGGGCAAAAGCTACCGTTTTGGCACAAATCGGCCAAATTCGACTTACTGTGACCTTCAAATCAAACGCGTTTGTTTTTTAAGGTCGCAAATCGAATTGGTCGTATTGCGATAAAAATGGCAACGTTGGCCCCTTGTATGGAGACTTAATGTGCATGGGCTGGACCTGATGATATGAATTCCATTGGCTGTGTGCACTCGGTATTAGAATTACGAAAGGTGATCGTCTTTGGCCGAGAGTATTATACCCTGTTGTACAAAAAAAAACCAAACAACCTGGTGTCGGCGAACAAGCGCTTGGTGCTCTTGCTTGCTCTGACCACCTTTAATTTATTGGGTAAAGCCCAGACGCTCTGATAGTATAAGAGCGTATGGTAAAAGCTTTCATTTTTTCTGTGTTCTCGGGTTTACAAAATTTCGCTGAACATAGTATGTACGAAAATAAATATTGTAGGAATACTTCTCAACGAAATTTGGCACTATAACAATACTGACTTCTCAACCAAATAAGACACAATAAACCTACTTCTCAATGAATTTGTTATTATAAGAATGCCGGTTATGTGCAGTATTTTGTTTGAACATTATTGTTTTTAACATTTGTTGAACTTTATCATATTACACGTGTAATGATGGGTCTGTTTGTTGATGTACGGTTATATTTCAAGTGCATAAATATGTAGCTTATTAAAAGATGTGTGGAAGAGAGGATATGTGAGAAAGTATGTTTGTGAGTGGTGTGTGTGTGTGTGTGTGTGTGTGTGTGTGTGTGTTTGTGTGTGTGTATGTGTGTATGTGTGTGAGTGTGTGTGGGTGTGTTACAAAAATGTGTGTGTGTGTGTGTGTATGTGTGTGTGTGTGTGTGTGTGTGTGTGTGTGTGTGTGTGTGTGTGTGTGTATTTCAGAAATGTTTGTGTGTATGTGTGTGCATGTGTGTGTGTGTGCGTGTGTGTGTGTGTGTGTGTGTGTGTGTGTGTGTGTATTTCAGAAATGTTTGTGTGTATGTGTGTTTGTTTGTGCGAGTGTGCGCGCGCGTGTAATAAAACAACGAACGCCAAGCGCCTGTGTCTGGATAGTAAACATTATAGTGCGGTCAAAACTTGGTGGTGCAACTTATTGTCAAATATTTCCTAAGGTATGGAACATATACTCTATAGATTTTGCACAATGACTGGTATCAATTTGTCTTAACAGATCAATATTTTTGCAAACGTATGTTAGCAGTCTTCTAGACAATTTGTTAATAAATACTAATCTAATTTTTAAAAATCCAAGTGGGTTGTTTGTCTAGATTTTAAAAGGTTTACAGCAGGTGTAATATCGCTTTTAAAAGGAAGTCCATTATTGTTTTCTGATCATGACACTATTTTTATTGAACGCATGTTTGAGAACCTTTTAGTTAGTTTTAATAGAGGTTTTACGGCGCTCGCAACTGCATAAGGTCATATGAGCGGCAAAAGATTAGAGGTGTTACAAGAGAGTAACAAACATAAAAAAAGGAGAAGGGGAGATAAGGACAGTAGACGTTTCATAGGAAAGAAGAAGCTAACCTCACCAGAGCACCCGCCAACCACCCAATTGAGAACCTTTAGTGCAAAAAAATGTGCTAACGATGAAATTAATCTTTTTGACAAGTTTTGCTCATTAAAAGTGTTGTTGGTGAGGTATGACGTAGGCCATATATTACGCGCATGCAAAATGTTTGTGAGAAGCGGGAAGTGCTGTGAACTATCCCATTTTCCGCGTGACGGAGTTTTATCGTAATTTATATAAATGTATGAAGATAACATTGGTTCGCCGGTAAAAGAAATATTTGAGGATAAGTTGCGCCACGAATTTTTGATCGCGCTATAATCACATCGATCTTATAGTATTGTTTCCGCCAAGTCAGGAAAATTTGCGTTCGGCGTGCACTTTCGCGTGCACATCTACTCAAGATTCTCTGAGACTGTGGACATCTTAGACACGTTGGACTGCTTCTTAGACGCGTTGGACTGCTTCTTGGATGATGCGCTGGAGTGTTTCTTGGATGATGCGCTGGAGTGCTTCTTGGATGATGCGCTGGAGTGCTTCTTGGATGATGCGCTGGATTCTTTCTTCTCCCCTGTTTGGGGATTCTCGTCTCCCTCCTCATCCTCGGAGCCCTGCATGGATTCCTCCTCATCCTTATCGCTGGCTCCCTCGTGTTTCTCAGAACTTTGTTCAGATTGCTCCTCGAGTCCCTTCTCTCCATCTTGGCTCGCTTCCGAGTGCTCATCCTTTTTCCTGAGGAAGCATCACAGATAGTATTGTTCCACTCGTACGCATATTATATATGAGTACACATAATATATTACACTCACAAATGCTCTCTCTCTCTCTCTCTCTCTCTCTCTCTCTCTCTC